ATATAAATCCATTGCCATCGAGTCAATTCTGACTCGTAGTGATCCTATAGGACAAAGTAGCACTGTCCCATAGGGTTTCTAAGGAGCGGCTGTTGGATTTGAACTGCCGACCCTTTGCTTAGCAGCCGAGCTCTTAACCACTGTGCCACCAGGGCTCCACTATATATATACACACACATGCATATATATATATACACATATATACACACATATATATACATAATATGTATGTGTATATATGTAAAAACATATAGAGAAAAAATAGTTTTTTGTTAAAGTGAAACGTGCTGTGATGAACTAGACATTCCTCATCATTTGGATCAGTTTTTATTTCTCATGTTAGTTTTCTGTGGTTGCTCATTATCACACTCGTATGTAGAAAGCACTGATCACCTGTGCTTCTAAAAGAAGTCCCTGGGTGACACAGACAGTTAAGCGCTGAACTGCTAACCGAAAGGTTGGCAGTTCAAACCCACCCAGAGGCACCTCAGAAGACAGGCCTGTCAATTTGCTTCCAAAAGTTTGCAGCCTTGAAAACCCTATGGAGCGGTTCTACTCGGACAAACGGGGTCACCGTGAGTCGGAATCGACTCAGCAGCAGCTAACAACAACATGTTTCTAAAGTCGTTTACTTTTCCTCCAAGTTCCTCTGAAAATGAGGAAAAGTTAGAAGGAAAGAAACTTGGAAAAGTATCGAATACATTCTAACAAGTCTTCAACTTTCTAAAGTGCTATTTTACTAGAATTTTAGCTAAAACAGTTTTCACCTAATAAATACCTCTCTTCATAGGAATGTATCAAACCAGAAAGCCTAACAATATTTTAAGCTGGACTTCAGGCTCTTGGGTAGCTGAGTCTGTTCACAGCCACAGTTTTTCTTACTACTTCCCAATCCTATTGGATGCAGTTCTTTAGAGTTCTAGCCTTTGAAATATTCGAGTCAACAAATTGTAGGCTGGAAAGTTACTATTATTTCTATAGTTTGTATACAAAGAGCAGTAAGAAATGACAGTTGACAGCAAGTGGAAGAAACAGGAATTAGAGAAAGCAGACATGAGCACCCCAAAAGCATAATAGCCAAGAGCCTGTTTCCTAAAGGAGCACAAATGCTTTGCAGCCCCGTGTGATAATGTTACAGTGATGACCTGAGGTATCAGATAATTGCCAAATTATGTTCATGTATTTATTTAAAGAAGTAGGAATGTGTTTTAAGCAGTGGGTGAGCATTCACTAGGTCAGAAAAAAATAAAAAAGTGTTTACTAGGCTTTTTTTTTTTTTTACAAAAAACATTATTTTGCCAATAAGTGTAATCAACACAACTGCATTTAAGCATTATTTTATATTTCTGCATTACAGAGGGATTTATTTTAAGGTAGCCAAAATTTCAGAAACTAGGTAACGTAGCAGCATACATCCTTATGTCCGATTATTTTGCTATATTACTGTTGTTATTGTTAGGTGTCTTCCAGTCGGTTCCTACTCATAGCGACCTTTTGCCCAACAAAACGGAAGACTGCCCGGCCCTGTGATGTCCTGACAACTGTTGCTATATTTGAGTCCATTGTTGCAGCCACTGTGTCAGCCCATCTTGTTGAGGGTCTTCCTCTTTTTCGCTGATCCTCTACTTTACCAAGTATAATGTCTTTGCTATCCCAATTCTGAATCTGATTTGTTCCAACTTTAGTTAACTTATAAGTTATTTACTTGCAAAATATATTTTGTTTCCAAAGTGATGCTTAATATGGAAGTCTTTAAAATAGAGATTTTTCCATTGCAGAGGAGACAAACAGCAGTACTTTTAAAAACACGTGCAATTAAATGTCTCAAACTCAACCAGTCTCCTGAGTTTCCTTTAATGTCATATTGAAAGTCTTCCCAGGAATTCCAAGGTGCTGACATTCTCCTGGTGATCACCCATGTCCTCAGATGCCCTCCCCGCAGTGTCCAAGCATTCTCCAGTTCATTTCTCCCCCTGAGCCCATTATATCAACAAATCTCAAGAACACAGGGGAGTGATAGACTTTCACAAAAGTGTGAGTGAAAACAGGAGAATTACAGCCTGCAACAGGACATGCTTGAAGACTGAAAATCAGAGATCATGCTTAATAAATGTCATCCAATAGTCCTGCTGGAGAGGTCTGTCTCTGTCTTCTCCTTTTGCCCTACTCTGCCTGTCTTAGTCATCTAGTGCTGCTATAACAGAAACACCACAAGTGGATGGCTTTGACAAAGAGAAGTTTATTTTCTCACAGTCTAGTAGGCTACAAGTCCAAATGCAGGGCGTCAGCTCCAGGAGAAGTCTTTCTCTCTCTGTTGGCCTTCTCATCAGTCTTCCCCCAGACTAGGAGCTTCTCTGCACAGAAACCCTGGGTCCAAAGGATGCGCTCTGCTCCTGGCACTGCTTTCTTGGTGGTATGAGGTCCCCAACTCTCTGCTTGCTTCCCTAGATAAGAGGTGGTGCAGGCCACACCCAAGGGAAACTCCCTTTGTGTTGGAGCAGGGATGTGACCTTAGGAAGGGTGTTACAATCCCATCCTAATCCTCTTTAACATAAAATTACAATCACAAAATGGAGGACAACCACACAGTACTGGGAATCATGGCCTAGCCAAATTGATGCACACATTTTTGGGGGGACATAATTCAATGCATGACACTACCACCAAGATGCATGTTTCTGTTTCTTTAGTCCTTTTTGGTATATCTTCCCAGTGTCCTTTTCCAACTCACTCTCTCCCTGCTTTCCCGATTCCCCTTCTTCCTATTATTAAAAAATATATACATATATATATATATATATATTCCTCCTTGTCAAGCTAAAGGTGAAAAACTGAACATTCTAGTCTTGTCTCATCTGAGCGATTTAGCTCTCTTTCACCTCAGACTCCCATCCAGACCCTCCTGAGACCTTCTCTTTTGCATAACCTTGAAGGGCAATGTATGTGTTTAAAACAAGCAAACAAATTGTTTAAAGAGCTTTAGACTTAAGAATGCTGCTCTCCTTCTAGATATGCACTCTCCAACAGAA